CGCCTTAGGCATGAAAGTCAGCTGGGTGACTTTGGCCCAATCACAAGGCAACGGTGAGTTCTAGTCCCGCCTTAAGCATGAAAGCCTGTTAGGTGACTTTGGGCCAATCACCAGGCGACGGTGAGTTCTAGTCCCGCCTTAGGCACGAAAGCTAGCTGGGTGACTTAGGACCAATCACCAGGACACAGTGAGTTCTAGTCCTGCCTTAGGCATGAAAGCCGACTGGGTGAATTTGGGCCAATCACCAGGAGACTGAGAGTTCTAGTCCCGCCTTAGGCATGAAAGCCTGTTAGGTGACTTTGGGCCAATGACCAGGAGACGGTGAGTTCTAGTCCCGCCTTAAGCATGAAAGCCGGCTGGGTGAATTTGGGCCAATCACCAGGCGAGGGTGAATTCTAGTCCCGCCTTAGGCATGAAAGCCTGTTAGGTGACTTTGGACCAATCACCAGGAGACGGCGAGTTCTAGTCCCGCCTTAGGCATGAAAGCTGGCTGGGTGACTTTGGGCCAGTCCCTCTCTCTCAGCGAACCCACCTCACACGGTTGTCGTTATGGAGAAAAGAGGACCACAATTGAGGTCGTAAATGGAGGATTCCATTCATTCTTCAAGTGGAAGATTTTGACAGTTCTCTTACGCCTTGCTAAAGTTGCTAAAGACAGTTTTATTAAGCGAGTCATGGAGTCACTAAGTAAATCCAATTTTCCCCATTAGCTTTGCTGGTCGTGCGTGTCCATTGCGTGACTTGGGATGCTGCAACCATCCGAAATACACGCCAGTTGGCCCAGCGACCAAATTTTCATTCTGTAACCTTGGGGACCTCCACTCCCAGAATCCCCCAGCCGGCATGCTCTAAGAGGGGAGGACTTCAACTCCCAGAATCCCCCAGCCGCCATGCTTTAAGAGGGGAGGAGTTCCACTCCCAGAATCCCCCAGCCGACATGCTTTAAGAGGGGAGGACTTCAACTCCCAGAATCCCCCAGCCGGCATGCTTTAAGAGGGGAGGGCTTCCACTCCCAGAATCCCCCAGCCAGGATGCTTTAAGAGGGGAGGACTTCGACTCCCAGAATCCCCCAGCCTCCATGCCTTAAGAGGGATGGATTTCAAATCCCAGAATCCTCCCCTCTTAAAGCAGGCCGGCTGGGGGATTCTGGGAGTTGAAATCCATCCCTCTTAAGGCATGGAGGCTGGGGATTTTGGGAGTGGAAGTCCACCCCCCCTACAACGGCTGCTCTTTGACCACAAAGAAGCCCAGAGCTAGCAAGCCCCCTTTTCTAACTAACCAGGTTTATTTCCCAGGTGGAAAGGCGTGGTGAAGTCACTTCCTTTGAGGCAGGAAGTGGGTTGGTTATCGTGTAGGAGGGAGCAGAGAACCGAGGCAGGATCGGAATGAGTCAAGGCCCAGCTCATTTTGAAAGCCGGAAACGCGCCACTCGCACACGAGGCCCGGCTGTCCTCGCTTCTCCTTTGCGTGTTTATTTTGAATTTCTTTCCTTCCGCCATTTGGACACCTTCACACCCGTACGGGCTGCAGCCGGTCCTCGACTTACGACGGTCCGTTGAGCCACCGAAGTTGTGACGGCGCCGGAAAAAATTGCTCTGAATTGGCAACGGACTCGTATTTACGACCGTTGCTGCGGCCTTCACTTATTAACCAAGTGTCTTAACTTATGAACTTGGCCACTGTGGCAAGGCAGGTCGTAAAACGTGGCCAAGTTCACCTCACGCACGTCTCGCTTAAGGACAGAGACTTGGGGCCCGTGGAACTGCTTGCCACCAGAGGTGGCGGGAGATCCATCGCTGGAGGGTTTTAAGAAGAGACCGGACAGTCACTTGCTCTGATGTGGTGTATAGGGTCGCCTGCTCGAGCAAGGGGCTGGACTAGATGACCTCCAGAGGTCCCTTCCGGGCCCTAGGATTCTATAAGGCAGGAGAAAGAGACAGAGGGATGGATGGAAGGAAGGAAGGAAGGAAAGATGGAGCGATGAAGGAAGGAGAAAGGCAAGAAAGAAGGAGGGAGGGAAGGAAGGAAGGAAGGAAACAGTGTGAAGGGGTGGGGGGAAGGAAGGAAGGAAGGTGTGGGAGGGAAGAAGGAAGAAGGATGGAGAAAGGCAAGCAAGAAGGAGGGAGGGAGGAAGAAAGGAAGGAAGGAAAGAAAGAAAGAAGGAAGGAGAAAGGCAAGAAAGAAAGGGAAGGAAGGAAGGAAGGAGAAGGAAGAAAAGTGGGAAGGGATGGGAGAGGAAGGAAGAAGGAAGGAGAAAGGCAAGAAAGAAGGAGGGAGGGAGGGAGGAAGAAAGGAAGGAAAGAAAGAAGGAAGGAGAAAGGCAAGAAAGAAAGGGAAGGAAGGAAGGAAGGAAGGAAAGAGTATGAAGAGGTGGGAGGAAGGAAGGAAAGAAAGAAGGGATGAAGGAAAGAAGGAGAAAGGCAAGAAGGAATGAGGGAGGGAGGGAGGGAGGAAGGAAAGAAAGAAGGAAGGAAGTTTGTAGAAGGAAGAAAAGTGTGAAGGGGTGGGAGGGAGGAAGGAAGGAAGGATGGAGAAAGGAAAGAAAGAAGGAGGGAGGAAGAAAGGAAGGAAGGAAAGAGGGAAGGAGAAAGGCAAGAAAGAAAGGGAAGGAAGGAAAGAATATAAAGAGGTGGGAGGAAGGAAGGAAAGAAAGAAGGGATGAAGGAAGGAAGGAGAAAGGCAAGAAAGAATGAGAGAGGGAGGAAGGAAGGAAAGAGAAGGAAG